TTACTATCCATACTAATTAAGAAACAAAAATTAAGATGAAATATAAACATTACATAAGCCATAGAAGAAACAAAAAATCCATACAAAATAAAAATGATAGTATATAATTAAAGAAATGAATGATAAAAAGGTATATAAAATGGAAATACAAAAGTTATAAAAGTTATAAAAATCTCAATTTAAAATTTTTAAAGATATACATAACCATGCAAAAATAAATTAATAAAAAGAATGTATAAAATATTTATTTTATCAAAATAGAGTTATAGAATATTATAAATAAAATGGAAATTTTTGACTTATGACCCCATTGGTACACTCCAAGTGTATATATTGAAAATTATGTAAGTTAAAAAATAATAATATTATATTTACTATGAAGTTAATACTGTATAAAGTTTGGCGAGTATAAACTTTTATAAGAAATATAACGATGACATTAATAAAATACAATTATCAATCATGTACTTATGTAATGGTTCACAACATTTTTGTAGTTTTTATGAGTAAACTAACATAAATTTTACTTTTTCTGATTTAACTATATAGTGTTTTAATTATTTTTATTTTATTCGTAAATGTTCATAGTGGGTTAAAATATATATTTTGTATTATTAAGAATATGATTTAAATTCTGATTATATATATTTTTAGATTTGCATGATATGGATTAAAATATGAGAATTATAATATAAACTGTCTTCTTCTGGTGTTATAATTTACGTTAAATAATACTTTAAAATTCAACGGGTTACTAATTAAAATTAATTGTATTCACCCGCGTATTAATGCGGATCCTATTCTAGTTATTATATATTTAAAGTCGGACACGGTTCATTATATTTAAAGTGTAATCATATGGTAGATTTATTTGCAGTACGCAAAATATACGTCATCATCACTGGTAGAATTATTTTAGGATTGTAAACTTGTTTTCCAAATGATGAAAGACTTATATTGACCGGCATTTGAGATATGTGTTTGCGTTCGAAATTCGCCGTATGTAACATAAAAGTTTAGCATCATTGAATGTAAACATACAAGTTTACCATTATTGTATGAAAACATAAAAATTTACCATTTTTTTATTTAGGCATGCAAGTCTACCATCAGTTTATTAAATGATACAAGTCTACTACTATAAATCAACCACTCTGGTAACCAATAAATCTATCAATTGAAGGTTGTTTTAGTAAAATCAAAAAATTGAATACTGTACCGCCACAAATAATAAGTCTGCTACTGTATTATACCTACCAACTAGAAATAAACCTACCTATACTCAACTAAATCTACCGTACGATAGACTTCTCTGTTTTGGTATCCATTTTTTTACCCATGTGTCAAAAGAAAAATAATGAAATTTTTATGAATAAGTTTTTCTTCAACTAATAAAATAGGAATACAAAAAGTATCCTAGATTGTCATAGTAATTTTTTTAAAATTACATCTTTTTAGTTAATGGCACGTGGAATTCTGTGTGATTCAGCAAGGATTGTTTACATTTTCTAGTTTAACCAATTAGTAAAACAACATTATAAAAAAATAATATCACAATTTTAATTTTTACTATATTATCATCTCTAATCACTATTTCTAGTTGTACTATCATTTTTATACTGTTATTCGCATAATCAAATTTTTATATTTTCCTTGTATTGCCAATGGGAACCAAATATATGAATTTCTAAGGTTGTTATAGTTAATCTTCCTTTTCTGTTTACTGAAAGGAAAAAGAACACATGTCTATGTTTGGGTAGAAAAAATGTACACGGTATTATCTGTCACAGTGGTTAGTTAGTAAACGTTGGGGGGGTTTGGATAGGTTTTGAGTAGGATTTGGTTCGTTTAGCCACGTGGCAGTCTTTGGATTGGTTAGTTGTCCGTGGAAGGAAAAGCAATGTAGTCAATGAAGTTACGTCATTGGATGCGGCAGCTTGTTCCTCAACGAACCACAAATGTCAACTAAACCTTAATGCATAACTTCAGTTTTGGATTTAACTAACATATACGAATACCAAAAAGTTCCTTCTTTTTTGTTGTTGTTGTTGCTAACTTTATATTATGGTTCCGGTAGACTACTTGTTCATCCGATTGATGAAATAATATCAATTGGCAGGACCAAATTAGTAAGGGATATATCATATGATACGATTCAGAGTTTAATCTCGTGTTCTAATAGTTAAATTGTATTCAAATTTATTTAAAATCTAAAACTAAATTTTCAAAAAATGAAAAAGAAGATTGAAGCAGTCCCCCAAAAAATATTCATACGTATATTTCTTTTGTTCTATCACAATTTTTTTTTTTTAAATTACACAAAACAAAGTATTAATAGAAGATAAATTT